TCATTATCATAATGGTGTGGGTGGAGGATATTTCCAAACGTAGTACTGTCCATCGCGTTCGAAATCAGCCCATAACCATACGGGGTGAGTTTTCACCCTTGTCAGTTTCAGTACAGCTTTTAATAAGAAAATGTAATAAGCTGAAGATAATTATCGTTCATCGAATAAGAAGTAAAACCTATTAGTTATAAATAATAATCGGACCCTAACGTTTAGCAAGATGCCGCCTACGCCGTATTCATTATCCCAGGCTTGTAGAGTGTATGGCGTGAAAACGATTTTTCTTTTTTCTATAACACTGTCTTGTGTGCGTGTATGGCGGCTCCATCGTCGTGCAAATTCTACGAACTGAAGCAAGAACAATCTCTAAGACGACTGTTGTCATAATTAAGTGTAAGCACGTCACCTGTGCCCCAAACATGTCATTCGTAAGCTTCGCTCTTGCTGCCTGTCACGTGGCAGTTCGCCTGAAAACCACAGGAATATTGGAGCTCGTGTTTGCTCAAAATCCAGTCCATTCTGTTTCCTTTCTTGGTACTTTTATCGTTTGAATCTCATATCCATTAACATCCCGATCCTTGATATAAACGTGACTTGCCGCAAGACACGTTTATATAAAGAATAGAGAAAAGCTGACAGTTTTTCGAATTCACAACTACTAAGAGGCGAGTCACAATGGTCATTATTTCATCGGCCTTCCCCAATGTGATGGCTGGTTGTGTCCGAAACAGGTTCAGACACAATCTGTCTATTGTAGGTATATCAACCCTCCAACGTACACGTCGAATAATAATGATAATGAAAATAATGATAATAATAATGATAATTGAGAGTAAGATTGATCCTCAGAACTGAGCTCAATGGAAGAAAAAAGATAGAAGTTATCTATAGTCTTGCAGTCCCAGTTGAGAATTATAGTTTGGGCATCATTGAATTGAATCCGAATTGAAGAAGATTGCAGATGTGGAAAGGCTGTACATCCCAAGAGAAGATAGAGGAAGGGGCCTGATTGATGTAGAAACAGCTTTCAAAACAATAACAATAGGGCTCAATCATTATCTGAGGGACAAAGAAGGGCAATATCCAAAGCAGGTGCTTGAACATGAAAGATCTAAAGTCAAAAGTGCAATAAACAAGAATGCTACTAAGTTCAAAAGGGAAGTACAGCAATGCGAGAGTTGGAGAACAGAGAAGATAAATCAGCCTCAGAAAATGCTAAGACTCAAGTCTACGATGAAATCCATGAAAGAAGAAAAGTGCATAAACAAAGCATTGCATGGCCAGTATCCCAGGATTCTAGAGAAGCCTCAGGTAGACACAGTCATCACCAACAAATGGTTGTCAAGTAAATCTGAAAGGAGAAACAAAGGAACTACTTGTCGCAGCTAAAGACCAGGCAATAAACACCAGAAACTACCAGAAAGTAATATGTGGCCAGCAAGTGGAGAGCAAATGCAGAATTTGTTCGCAATATGAAGAGACAGTGGACCATATTGCATCTGGATGTGAGGTATTAGCTAAAACAGAGTACATCTACAGACACCATAATGCTGCAGATGGTATCAACATGAGCCAGAGACTGTGATGCACAATAAAGACAGCAACATCCTCATCATATGGGACATGCCAGTCAATACTGATAGAACTATAACAGCAAACAGACCAGAAATTGTAATTAAAGATTCAATGAATTCCACTGGCAAACCGATTGATATGGCTGTTCCATCAGATAGAAACATCGCTCTGAGGGAAATGGAAAAGAAAAGTAAGTACAAAGACCTAGAACTAGAAATACAGAAAATGCGGCATATGAAACCGTAGTGATCCCTGTGCTTGTTGGTGCGATTGGTACAGAAAAGAAGGGGATGGAGGAAAACATAAAGAAAGCATCAGAAGCAGCTCCTGTGACAGAGATTCAAAAGATCTGCATGCTGGGATCTGCGCGAATCCTCAGAAAGGTGCTCAGTGTATGATCAGAATGATTGACTTGGGTGACTGATGCCCTAGGTGCATGGTTTGCGCCCGGCTGATGCACAAAAAGAACACCAGCAAAGACTGTGACAGAAGAGATAGTAACGTTGATAATAATAATTATAATAATAATAATAATTGATGTGAATTCAGCAGTGTACAATCCACAAAGTGGCTCTTCTTGTCGGCTGTTTCCAGATCAAATTGAAATTTAGAGTGTTGGTTTTTTGTGGAGGGAAGAAAACTGGAGGACCCGGTGAAAAACTCTGGCAGCAAGGACAAGAACCAAAAATAACTTCCACCAACATGTGAAACCAGGTCTGGGAATTGATCCCAGACCACAGCAATGGGAGGCGCGCGTTCTCACCACTGCACCATCCCTGTTGATTGATACCTCCACCGTAGAACAAGGTAAGGGATGGGCCCCCTTCCACCCCAAAATTTTCCAGGTGTTTCATTATGTTTCCAATTGTTTCAAAATTAAAGGGGAGCCTGTTGTGTTATCTACAAGTTAAGATAGAAATTATGGGTCACCAAATTATCGGCAAGCTTCCTTGAGGATAAGATGAAGATTTTGACAAAGGAACCAAAGAAGCACAAAAACGTATTAATGTTCTTTATTTGTCTTGACGTGTAGTGCTCATGTCCTATGAAGAAACCTATCACTGCGATGACAAAAATAACTTGGAAAACCAATGATGTGCAGCGCTGATTGGAGGTTTTCATGATATGATCGTGAAGAATTGGTCTTAGCAGCTTTGTAATAATTTGTGCATGCTATCCAGGGCCAATAGAGCTGTCACTGATATAAAAGTGTTGTTATCGAGTTATTGTCATCGGGAATTTTAAGAAGAGCCCCAGAAAAGACTACGGATTTCATTTTGTGTTTGCTTCTCTGAAATAAGGGTTAACGAAAAAGAAAGACGAAACAGTTGATAATGTCTACCAGAATAGGATTTTGTATGTGCAAGAGACAAAACCTTTATTCTTTAAGTTGTTTTTTTCGAATTTGTCACTCGTTTATGTTTAATTAAGTGAATTTCTGCGTAGGAACTTCATGCAAATTGCGTTCTTGTATTTTTTATATCGTTCTTGGCCCATATTTCGATATCATCTTGTGCCAAATTCACGATTCGGGAAGAATTCCTATCTATAAATTTAAGTAATCCACAATTTCTTTCGGGGAATGAAGACTTAATGAACTGTTTATATCTCCAAGTTGCTATACCTGTAAACACCTTTACTAACTTCCTTTAATTTATGGAAAAGGCAGAACCTTAGAGATGCCTTCTCTTCTTCAATTTTCTGTCTTTTAATGCTATTTTCTTTGTAAATCTTTATCTCTGGTTTATCTTCAATTTAACTCATTCTTTAAACATGTTCTAATTTTTATAATGCAAATCTTGTGTTAATTTCCGCAGGTCTTGATCAGAACTATAGAAAAGCTTAACCTCCACATCGGCCGAAAACACTCAAAATGAGTTTTTGCAGCCGATGTGGACACACGTGGAGGAATGGAGCAGCAGTACGCTTTTTGCGGACGACTACATCGAGGCAGGTTTGTTCAAACAACTCAGGACTAGTTTAGGCTACAAAGCAATTGTCGGGAAAGAAGAGGTATCTCAGTTTTTCGAGCAAATCCTGGGAGTAAAGAATAAAAATAGGCTTGATGTAAGGAGGCTTACTCAGCTATCTCACGGCGCAACTTGGGTGTACACAAGAGGAGACAAGTCCGCTCGCCAGGTATGAAAGTAATCAATGAGAATTTAATAGTTCAGCTGTTGTCAGTTGTAAGCCTTATATGCGGGCGAGATGGAAAAGAAACATGTCGGCAAGGCCTGGATGGGCAACAACGTTTCATTTCATGAGACTTTAGCCAGCGGGTCGATATGTTCAATAGGAAAGTCCTCCTCCATCCCTCCATCGACCCTTTTAGTGCTTAACCGGAGAATCGTTCTGTCTCCGGATTTTAAGATTTCAAAATTTGCGTAAGAATTAGATTTGAGCCATGGGATCGATTGGTGAAATCAGATGAAGCAAAATTAAGTGATAAAAAAAGATAAAATGATAAAATAATGACAATCCAATGAACAATATTTCATTATAATTTAACAAACGCTTTCGTAAGTCATTCAGAATCCAGGAGTTTCAGTTGTTTGTTACAGCCAGCCTAAACGCTTCTATCCGACATATGCAAAGCTGAGAGAAAGGTGAGAGAGGGTGCAGTTAACGGAATGAACTTAAGAGATTACATTATGGAACAGCGCAAAGTTCTTGACCAGGTGGGTAGGTTTCTTTAGGCTTTGAGCGTTAAAAAGTATATTTAGCGAAAAAGGTTTACGCCAACAAATGTTGACTTCTATGTTTTAAAATATGTGATAACTACATCTGTGAGTATTATTTCTAGCTTGAAAATGAAGACAGTGACGATAAGGAAAACCGCATCGCATCTATAGCAACCAAGTTGTTAACCCGGAATGGAACGTTCGTGAACATGCTGCTCGCACGATTTGTTTTCAGCAGGCACTAGTGTCAAGTAGCATATATAGTCGCACAAATTCTAAAAAACTTAAAAAAGATGAATTGGGTACTGTTTTCACGGTGGAAACCGAGCACCTTGGAGTTCTACAAATGACTTCCGTGCAATGTCAGGGATGGAACTTTAGCTCATTGCCGGGTTAACGCAGACGAATATAAAACAAGTTTTGAGAAGGGCCATCCCGAAACCAAATTTCCAATGATTTGTTCAACAAACTATTATTAGAGTCCCCAACAGGGGAGACCTTGAAAATATTTCGGATATTACAGCAGACGAAGGAGACGACATAGCCAAACATGAAGGTCAATAAGTCATGGCTATAACTTGATGTGAACAGAGTGGTTTTCAGTTGAGGTTTCAACCAGTTACGCACTTTATTGCAGCCTTGAGCTTTTTTCAAACAAAACCATTTTTTTCAACTTTCATTTTTATTACAGTATCGTTATTACTACACGCTACTCAAAAAAAAGAGTAAAGAATCAAACGATTTGCATCCTATAATACTATATACATGACTTAGGAATTATTATAAGTAGTGTAAGTAACAATTGATCTTTCAGCTTACCGAAATTATGAAAGTTCGAGGGGATCCGCTGCTTATAAAGGCATCAGTTGTATCAGAGAGGACTTTTGGCGAGATTGCAAAATTTATAAAAAAACATTACAAAGGGATGTTTTTCGTCTATACTTGTTGGGAGGAACAAACAGAAACGAAAATCTCCAAAGGAACCAAAAAAAAATTTTAAAAGGTCGTGCTGGAATCCAAACAGCCACAACCATATTAGTCATATTAGGGATAGTTTTCAATAGCGAGTCAACTTCTGAGCCAACGATTATTGCAAAGAACAAGATGAACGACCATGAGGCCAATTTCGACTTACGAAAGCGATTCTATTACTAGGTAAAAACTAGGTATAGATTACCTTTTATCTATTACCTTGTGAAACAAGCAATCGCGAAACACCGGCTAATGATACCTTCCAAGGATTTTCAAAAGCCGTAAAACGAGGATTCGAAGAGTGAGGACAACACAGAACATGAAGAAAGCCCTCTATCATCACGGTTTTCTTCTAGTGAGTGCGAATCTCTTCTGAATATGGCAGAAACCCCTATATTTCCATGCTCCTCTACCCTCTCCTACCCTCGCTGAGCCGAGATTAAAAAGTGCATATTTCAGGTCATAATGGTAGCGGAAAAGTAGATGTCAAACAGAGAAAAAATTTACGTGAAAAAAACTGTCAAAAAATTTATGTACTTTGTGCTCTTGAATTGGTGATCTAAATTTGCGAGTCGAAAAAAATCCCTGAAATTGAAACTTTGTGAAAAGACAAGCTCGGCAAATTGTGCTATTTTTTATGATAGAGAGATCGTTTTATTAATTGATAATAATTTACGTGAAAAAAGCATCGGAGAAAGGCAAGACCGACGTAATTTTACAGCATGCACGCTATTCGTCTCTGCTTACGCTATCAACAGACCCGAGACTTAACTGGAATGTAATAATTTCAAATTTAAAGGCCCATGTGGATTCATATTAACAACCTACTTACCGTAGCTATAACTATCCTCTGTTTGCGCTTGCTGCATAACTCTCAAAGAAGATAATTTCGTTTTCCTTAAAGTGGTCTATGAAACTGAAAATTCAATGGTTGAAGGTGAACTTTATAGAGCCAAGGTTTGGATATTCAAGAATCAGTATAACTTGACGTTGACGCCTTGTTGCAACGACTGCTACGTCACTTCTGAGACAACGGGGCGACGTTCTCGACCCAGTTTCTTTCCAATATTTTTGCTGCGCGTTCCGTTGTCAACTGACGTTCCCGTCCTCCTGCTTGATCATTCTGATAACGTCAGTTACGGCGCTTGTCATGTTTACAAACCTTTGTTTGGTTCTTCTGTCGCTACTTGCCGGCTGGCTAGTTTCAAAAGTTCATTTGCAATTAACGAAAATAAGCCAGAGAGAAGCTCCGGGTTCTGTACTCTGATACAGCACGCTCTATCAAACAATTGCAGAGTGTGTTATTTCCGAAATTTATTATAAAGTGATATATGGTTTTCCAGAGTTTCCATGCTTTCTTTTGAGAATGCGCACGCTCAACTTTTTTTCTCGAAACACTTTTAAAACTGGCACTATTTTGACTTAATTTCTTCGTCCCGGTTTTTTACAAGTGAAATACAGATCAGTATCGTGTTAACAAATGATTCTTGGTCAAATCCAGGGCTCTTCCTCTTTTCACTAAAATGATGTGATTAGAAGTTTTTGTTGCTTTCTGCATTACGTCGTATGACCCTTACACTTTTCCTGTATCCATTTAAACTTCTGTGTGGAAAGAAGCTTGGTGATATTAATTTGGAGGGTAATATTCATGGTGGTGCCCAGTTTTCATTACTACCTTGATGAATACAACTAAGGTTCCAGTTTAGACGGCTGATTGTTGAATTTCGTCAATGCTGTCCCTTACTAGATGGTTCTCGTGTTTCTCTGCGCCTCGATATCTTTGTGTTATTGTTAGTCTGATTGATGGAGTCATGGATGGAATTCGTGAATTCCTTTTCAATGTAACAATTTTAAAAGCACTCCAAAAGTCTTGTTTGAAGAATGTGTACAATAAAGGATTAACGGCAGAGCTGATATATCTGATGATGACAAACATTTGGGATGCTTCTGTAAAAGAAGCCTGATCTTTGATATCTATCCATCCAGTCGTGGAGACAGCGTAGATTAATCTTAAAGTGAACCAAGGTATCCAACAAATCGCGAAAGCAGTCGCCATTGCGAGCAGAATAATGAGGCATTTCCTTTCGTTGTTAGCTTTCTTAAATGCGCGAGAATCTTTCCGGCCAGATGATTCTTTTGACGACCGCTTCATAGACACTGCTTTGAACATAACGCCGTAGGCATAAAGGATAAACATATACGGAACAAAAAACACCACGCAAAGACAGAAAATAATGTGTCCAGCTTGTAAATATAAAGCGAAAGAGTCCTCTGCGAGCCATGAATCCCACCAAGTTGCAGGTACTGACCCCAAGAACGCTGAGCAAAGCCATACGGATGATAATGCCTTCCTCACTGTTTTCCTGGTCATCAAGAAACGTCCAAAGGGGTTGACAACGGCGAGATATTTGTCCATAGTAATAGCAGTGATGTGGTAAGCTATCGAAATTGAAATTACGTTATGGAAGACTTCTGAGGTGCAGTACATCACAGTAAACGACGGACTAAGCGGAGACAGATGAACCAAAACCAGGAGCAATGGAATATTTATCAGCCCCGTCATGATGTCGCTTATAGCAAGGCTCAGCAAGAAATAATTTGCAGGAGTGCGCAGACTCCTCATTTTGCCGAAAAGATAAAACACGACTCCATTCGCTATGATGATTGAAACGGCAATAGGAACAAGTTGTGAGGCCAATTTATAGTTCGGTTGATGGAACGCTGTAGGGTGTTGAAGAGATATGTTACTTGAATTGTTCATCGTGTTATAGTCCTTCATATACTAGTTTCTTTTCTTCAGTTAAGCACCAAATTGAAAATGTGAGGTGGTGAGCAAATTGGTTTAACAAAATTCCTATAAATGAAAATGATTGCACATTATAGAGGGTATATAACAAGTGTTAAGCATAGTTGCTAAGTCGAAATAGTACCGCATTTACTATAGTCTCAAATTTCAGGCGAAATCGGTAAGTCAGCTAGATATTTAAGTGAAAATAATCACAGGTGTACCAATAGATGCACATCTGTTCAAAGCTCACGCTAAATTTTATATTTGCTTTGTTAAGCAATTCGACAAAGTATATCATCTCAATTGAGGAACAAAACCCTAATTGTCGCTATTAAGACAAGTTATATTACTGTTCAAATGGACTGTGAATCATAATTTCGTAGAAATTCCACTTGTTCCCCGAGGTGCAATGATAGTGCTGTCTTCTCTACGGCTACCCAGCCTCGTTTATTGTCTGATTTAAGAGTAGCACGCCATAGTTGCCGAACCATCTTCAAAGCAGCGTATGATTATTTTTGAGTGTAGCGGATACACATTTTAGGCATTCTTATTTATTTCAAAACTCATCTGTCACTGTTGGCTGCTGGTAGATTCATCTGCTATAAATTCGAACTCTTATAGAGGTTTACAAAATTCCAAAGGGAAATAATTGACAGGTTCTTAAAATTAGAACGTCCTTAGGAAAAATGTATAATAGAAATGCTAGTCAGAAATAACGATTTCCGAGCCTCGGTGATCAGAATTCACTTTTAGTAATCGTAAAGACGGTCACTGTTAAAAAAAAAAAGAAGAGGCTGGGAGAACTCAAAGAACAACCACTGAATAAAGATTGGTGAAATGATTGGTGATCATATCACTACCGAATCTTGCAGCCTCTGCTGTGCAACCTCATCGTCATCAAAATTATTCTTGTGTATATAATGTATTCATACATTTCAGATAGACTTACCCGTAAGCTCTTCCTCAAATAGACTAAAAAAACAAACATCTTCGCGTTCATTAGAAGATAAGGTAATGTAAGGAGAAAATCTTCAATCTCCAGGTGTTTAAATATTGTCACAGCCAATTCTTCAGCGATGCAACCAACATTTGGCCAAAGATTGAGATCAGATTCAAGTGTTGAATTGTAATAATTACGATTACGCTCTGCCTGTGTAAACTGACTCATAAGGTTGCATCAGAGGAATATCAGAAGAACACACGGTCAGTCCTCGATTAAGGAAAGACATCATATCATTCTGAAACAACTCAAAACGTGGGCGTCCATTCTTACCAAGAGAGTGGGTGCTACAAAGCTAAACAACATACACCAGGTTCAAATGTGGCACGCTACCAGCCCACTTGAAAGGATCCGCTTCCTTGGTAGGGTTCTAGATCTGAGAAAGATAAATAGAAAGAAAGGTCATCATGATAATCAAGATCTTAAAACTTATGGCGAATGACAATAGATGGTAAAAGGGGAATGAAAATTCAAATGAGTCAAAGATCTTGTCTTTTCCTTACTAAGTCGTTATTAGTAAATATGTGAATAACCTAAATTTAAAATTTTTTTCTTTTTAATAACGATATCTTAATTCTAATGTAGACGAATAAAGTAAGACTAAAACACCTCTCCCACCTGGAAGTTTGTTAATGGCATTGAACCGAAGTCGAAATATAAAATCAAGATAGTATTCCTCTAATCACCTAAGTGGAAACTTCAAAAAAACTATAGCTATTTGATTTTAACAGATTTAAAATTTCCTTTATTCTCTCAGCCCGGTGTTTATACCTGAAAACTAGTCTCAAGCTGTAATTAGCCTCGTCTCGTGATCGCCTTCTTTCACTATGCAAAGATTATCGTCTTCCGAGAGTAAGACTGATGTTTTTATTTTCTCGCCTGACTCCTGACAAACACAAGTTTTAGAGTAAAACTGAGCTGCTGCGGGCTTTACGGGAACACCAGCCAGTTTGTTTACTTCACGTTTTCGATTTGGTTAAGATTGTTATATCAAAGACGATCGTTGAAACTTACTAGAATATGATGTTTGACAGAAAACGATGAATTTTCCAACTGACAACATTACAAAACAAGCGTCATAAGAAAGTCGCACTATAGCAAAAACTTCATTGATCTGAAATGCTAAGCACCACTAAGCTGCTATCCGCATTTGGTGAAGAACGTGTAAACTAATTCGCGAAGAACTTGATGTATGTATTACTTATTAGCTTTTAATCCTGCTGCCACACAAAAACAATGGTAGATTACTTTAGGAGTCTTATAAAAGACAAGAAACTATTTACCATCAAAGATTTTTGTTCCATTTTTGTACGACTTTCAGTTCTTGATCACTTAGACGGCGCCTTCTCCTTTTAACACTAGTGCCAATGATAAGGCGAAAACAGGCTTCACACAGCTGTTGGACCCTGCTCTATTTACAAACTTAAAATTTACGTAGGTGTATCTTGGTTCATCGAATATTCAGCTTATCTTTCCTCAGGCTAAAGTTGGAAAGTCACACTTTACACATACATCTAATTTTTAAAACGAATCCACTCTGTTCATTTGATTTACCCGAAAACGTTTTGCTGGAATAATGTGGAAAATAAAAATTATGTTTATGGTTGCCTGGTGATCTGCGTGCGTTGGGATTAAAGTCTTTTTGATTTGTCAGTCTTCCCGTCGCCAAGCTCCATTTCCTTTGAGCTTAAGTGCTTTACAGTCACCTTTGTTTTGATACACAGATCACTCAATAACTAACCTTAACACTAGATTGGTTCATTGAAATTCACTAAGGTTAGTCACTATATCTTATGAAATAAATACAAAATGAAATATCTTGAAATGTCATAGTAACTTTCTTATTGAGCCTAGAGCTTATGAAAGCCATTGAAACCCACTGACTACAGTACTGGGATAGATCTGAAGACAAAGATATGTCTTTGGCCTTTGTCTTACTCCCGTCAATCTATGAATGTAAGACACGGAGTAACTGACGATGGCACTGAATAAATATAGGAAATCTGATACGCCTTTCGGTGTTTCCCCTTTTTTACTTTGTGTCGTGTTTTCCCATATCGCTTTCGATTAAAGCCCTGAGTATTAACACCGCTCTTAGGTGCTTTAAAATACGTGCGACAAACCATGGTCAGTTTGACTAATGGCCGTGGTTCGTGGGTGTAGGTACATGTCGGGGGTGATCAGTGAGAAATTAAAATTAAATAAATATTTTATTGTAATTTTGCAAAAATATCACGCACAACACATTGGTTTGAAAAAGTACTCAGTCAAGAAAAATTTGAACCCCTTCTCTCCCCCCTCTACAACGCAAAAACATCCCTCCCCTCCGAGAATAACATGCGAGAAACAGCGAAGTGAAAATTTTATTAAGAGGTGTTGGAGAAAATTGAATGAAAATTTCTTTGGTGCCAGTTTCCTCGTACGAAGGGTAGCCAAAAAGGGGCATCGTTTCGATAAAAGTTGCCATCGACCATGGACCGAATACAGCCTCTCCGTAATCATTTTTCTTTTGAAATTAACTTTAACAACAACAATAGCACAAAGATCACATGTACTAAAAAACTATTAAATGTTCGCCTGATACCACCAGAGTAGACTGGTTGTTACCAAGACCGTTGCGGACAAGGGGAAATTATTTATATCTGTCAACGGTGCTATATGCTCGCATTTTTTTTTCTTTTTTTTTTTGGTTTTTTCAATTTCATTCGACTTCAATTAGCGACTAAAGTAATCCGGCATACCCATGCATGGCTTGATTTCGTGGTCCGGAGCGAATTGAGGAAGAATTTCTTTACTCGCGTTGATGATTAATTTCACATTAATTATGTATAACTGATTACCCACGACTTATTATTGACTTTGTATTGCAATTTCTATTTGAATTGTGCGTGAGATGCTAGAGTCACCAGAGAGCTATTGTGACGGCCAAAAATATGTCGATTGAAAAATGAACTTACATTCTCTGACTAATCCCCATATGTCTAGATATGTTATCCTTCTTCTGCCGCATAGAATTTGCCAGCAGCGTTGATTTCCAAATGGTCCAAGCGAATGCACCAGCAGATTGTCTTTCCCAAGCCACTGCATCATGGGTAGGAAACCAGGTATATAAGAGAGAATATAGCAAATGATAGTCATCGAGGCCTCTGAATCAATCCAGTTCAGAGTTCTGTTTATTTCTATTTTAAATTTTCAGCCAATGTAATGAGAAAGTTTTTACAATTATTTTCAACGTGGAGAAAGAAACACAGTTCACTATCAAGTTCTAAACCTAGTAATTTGGAAATACACATTTCTGTCCATCCTCGAGCTAAGACGTTTCTTTCTGAAAATCGATGTTTTCGTCTTGTCTACATCAAGAGAAAGAGCGAAAATCTTAACAAGCCTTAGATCAATGCAAACACTTGTTGATATTAATATTTTGGTAGAGAGATACTGGTTTTTTAGATCTGTGGTGGAGAAACACAATGAAGATAAGGAATTATCGCTGAAGGGATCCACGGAAGTAACTATACCATCAAATAAATGATAATATTCTATCATTACAGATGATAAAATCAGTAATGAAATGATGACGAATGCTGGACATACTCCTAAAACTTATCAACACCAACGCGCACATCTTTTATTTAATTACATTAAATGCAATTCTTTCCAGTAAAACTGACATGATAAGTCGTGTTTATCGTGAAGGTGTTTTGCCCACCTTATCGTGACGTCAGTTTGGTTAAACTCTTACAAGAGGGACTGTTTCGTAAAGTAGTTTCACCCAGTTTTACGCTAGTTTTTTCATCATATATTTTCACAACCTTGTGACACTTGGCTTACGTAGTTCATGTTACGTTAGAAAGCTAAATGATTTACTCACTTGGCTATTAGTTTGTGTTAGAGTTCGTTCTGAAGCAGTGCTCATTTATCTTTTGGAAGATGTAGTTCTCTTTGTCTTTTTCTTAGATTTTGGTATAACTTGTATCTTTGAATTGGAATGTTTAGAATGTTAGTTTGTGCGTTAGAAATTAGCTTGGCTTCTTACTTGCAATTTTCATACGTCAGTTTACGATAAGTACCTGGATAAGTCGTCTATGTTAAATAAAACGATCCAAGGCTTGTCCGTAAAATATGTCTTCGCTTCATAGCGCGTCCTCACTTGCATTCCTCTTTGTTTCATAGTGCTTACTTCGTTGAATACGGATGTATTGCCATCAGATAGTGTGCCAGAAGAACCCTATAACGACGTCAATGCCCTTCCCAGACTCTCCAGGCCGTACTAACGCCGTAATTTGCATATCAAATACCCTAACACTCGTTCCTATGTTTCGCATATCCACGAGCAAACATTTGTTCATGCTTAGCGTGTGTATATCGAGTTATGGATGCACGCGAGTAGTTCGGAGAGCACGAAAAATGCGTAAATTTCAGCTTGTTTGATGTCGGTCTTTTTCTTAAAAAAGAGAGGGTCAACGTACTTGTTTTTGTTGGATAGGCTGTCCGTCGTGTAGTAAAATAGCCCTGCAAGTCTCGTTAGAGTCCTGGTGGCCAGCCTTGAATAATGAAACTTGGATTTCGTATGGTGCAGACGATTGTGACAAAATTTGTTTCTGGCAGGGCTCCAACCTGCGACCTTCCGCGTGTTAGGCGGACGTGATAACCACTACACCACAGAAACTTGCATGTACTGTCATTTATTTGCCTCTCACTCCTGTTGGTGACTAGCTGAAGTTGAGCGGTCAGGGTAACACACGAGTTACGCACGCTCGAACGTTTCATTATAAGTTCATGTCTGATTGTAATTCAAGAGTCTAAGTATCACTTTTCAACGTAATCAAAGACAGCAGAGAGACGTCGAAGACGTGGAGAGAACGATTTCGCATAGACAGAAAAAATGACAGGTTTCGCAGAATTGTGTTGAATTTACTCCATACGAGTAAATTTGCGATTCTTCGCCAACACTTGCACGGAATTTTTTATTTCGTCTGAGCTTTCTGTGGTGTGAATCCCAGAAAATAATCGGGATACAAAGATTTACAAGGCCACATAAAATTACTAGACGAAAAAGCTGTTCTCGAGTAGTTGGTGTGTTTTTTAGTTTACCTCAGTCTCAACATACCCAGAAAGAATAAGATTCTAGTAAAAAGAAGACTTAAATTTATTTTATTGAATTTGGAGTTATTAATTATTCTCACAAGGAGGAAAAAATAAAGGACAAGAATTAAATATATTTAATACAGTTTGTAAGAATTGTAAGGTTGCACATACTGCAGTAGTGTCTGCCATCCTCCAAGCAGAAACTTAATGGTCACAAATCGAAATTTTTCTGGCAGGGCTCGAACGTGCGATCTTCCGCGTGTTTAGCTCCGTAATGATTAGC